AAACTTAAATAATGAATGAGTGGGAGTTCCAGTATGAAAAAGAAAGTAAAGGAGGTGATGTCCAAAAGCGTTATTAACAGCACTTGCAAGACATGGTTAAAGGTCTTAGAAACAACTCCGGCAATGAGCAAGGGTTTATCAACCAAACCATTGCAGAGATCAAAAAGGATATCTCCACCTCGGACATGAAGAAGAAGGCGATTTGTGTTCAAAAGCTGACATATCTCCAAATGTTTGGCCAAGAAGTCGACTGGTCTGGATTCCACGTCATAGAGCTTTCTGCAAAGCAGTCATTCTGGATGAAGAGAGTCGCTTATTTGGCTGCACAGACGTGTTTACACCAAGACGACGACGTCCTTATGTTGATCACAAATCAATTGAAAAAGGATCTTCAGGGCACCGCTTATGAGTCATGCAATGCTTGTGCCTGTTTCTCAGCTATTGTGAATGAGTCTTTGGCTCGTGACTTGGCTGCGGAGTTGGTCAAATTGCTCACATCGGGGAAGGACTTTTTGAGAAGACGGGCGTGCTTGATGATGTATCCGATGTGTAAGGAATATCCCGATGCTTTAAGGCCATCATTTGCTGCTATGAAATTGAAACTGAAGGATGAGGAACAGACGGTAATAGCAGCCGCTTGTGTGTCCTTTGTGGAATTAGTGAAACATGACCCCAAACAATACATCTCCCTTGCGCCAATTCTCTATGAAACTATTAAGAACCCAATGAATCAGAGCAACGACATGTTGATGACAAAGGCTATTAAGATACTTGGGATGCTAGCTTCTGTTGAAATCAGACTTGCTAAGATCTTGGTTGAACCGTTCAATCAGTTGCTTGCGAGTAACATCACAATGACTGTGTTATATGAATTGATTAACGCATGTATCACGGGGCTGAACAAACACGTTCCAACCATGAAGACATGTCTTGGGAAAATCAACATGATGATTCAAGACACAGAGGGCAATATCAGATTCTGCGGTCTTAAATTACTCGGGTTTATGATGACCAAACACCCGAAGGCTGTTATAGAAAGCAGAGATACTGTGCTTGCGTGTTTGAGTGACCCTGACGATTCACTGAGAAGAAACGCACTTGAGTTGTTGATAGGGATGGTCAACAAGAAGAACATTTCCGAGACGGTTGACCGATTACTAGTGATAGTTGAAAAGTCTGAGAACTCGTATTACAGAGATGAGTTGTTTATGAAGATCATTGAAATTATTAAAAAGGACAACTACGACAATGTCACTGATTTTGAATGGTATTTGAAACTCCTTTCAAGACTTTCAACACAGAAACTGGAACAAAGTGTCTTCAATGTAGTATCTCAAGAGTTCTCGAATATCATTGTGAGAGTACCGGATATCAGACTCTTTGGTATTACTTTACTGAAGACTATCATCACGTCGAATAACTTCTTACAGATGGCTAGTGGAGCAAGTTTGCTTGTGGAGAGTGCGTGGTGTGTTGGGGAGTATTGCTATTACTTGACTTCAGAAGACACGTTGTCGACACTGAAACACTTGGTGTCTTGTAAACACACGTCGTTGGTACCAGAAATCCAAAGTGCTTTCTTGGCTGCTGCACTGAAAGTGTTCATTGAAGTTGTTGACCCAAGAGACCCGGCTGATATTGAAGAAGCTGATGACGACGATGAAGTGAACTCGATTACTAAGACGCAACTGTCTGATGACGATTTGACGAACTTGATTGCAGAGATAGATGCTTCATTGACTCCATTTGCACAGAGCACTCATCTTGAAGTGCAAGAGAGAGCGTGCTTCTTCTTGGCTATATTGAGACAATTTGAAACATTGAGAGAGCAACACATTGATATCATTAAGGAACTGAGATATTTGAACAATGAAGTGCTTCTCCCTGTCAATCCAAAAGCACAAAAACTGATTGAGCCACCAGAAGATCTCAACTTGGACGAGGTGATCAACCCTGAATTTGAAGAAGCTGGGAAAGAAGAGACGATGGACTCGAACCTCTTTGAAGGGTTTGAAGACAAGACGGTCAAAGTGTCCAAGTCGAAGTCCGTGAAACACGGGAATGCGTTTTACATAGACGACGATAACGATGATGATATGTTTGAAAGAGACGAAGAAATTAAGGTGGACATGCAACCTGTAGAAATTAACACGGAACCGACTGCGGGTGAAGGACTGACTGCTGAAGAAGAGTTAAGAAAGGCGTTTACGTTATCGAAGAAGAAGAAAGGGAGTTCGAAAGGGAAGAAAGGGAAAGTAGCTGGAGAGGTGATGCCAAGCCTTAAGAAGAAAGACGCGATAGAAGAGAAAATGAAAGAGAAGGACAAGTTGGCACAAATTGATTTGAACGATCCGGTCAAAGAGGAGGAGCTTCTTGCGCTTCCGAAGCATCGCAGTGAGAAGACTTCACAAGTCTCTGTTGCGCAACAAAATGTGCAACGGATGGAAGGTGGAAAAGATCTTTGTAAGAACAAGGCGTTTGGTGTGAAGTATTTACTGAAGACGAATAAAAAGCACCCAACGAAAGTGATGGTACAACTTGAAATTGAGAACTTCACCGAATTTAAGACAAACGTCTCTGTTGTCATCAACCAAAGCACTTTATATAACATCGACTCTATTAGTCGAACAACTCCGATTCCAGTTGGGGGGATCATTGGTGTCACTTGTATTGTCGACTTGAAGAAAGTCACCTCTGCTGTGGTCAAAGGCGCTATCCAATGCCCAGCAGCTCAAGTGGCATCGAATGTCCAGATCAAAATCCCGGCTTCTACCTTCATAATAGGAGCCGCTTTGGATAAGAAAGGACTCACAGACATCGTTAAAACAAAGAAAATGATTTCAATGGCTTACTCGGTACCGGAAGACACAAAATTGGACCAACAAGCACTCATGGAAAGCTTACAGTTACTCCCAGTTAAAGACTCGAATGGGAAGATTTGGTATGGAAACACTCTTAAGGGAGATGACTTAGCAATTTTATTGACTAAGAAAGAAGGGAAAATTGGATTTGACTTGAAGACCACTGACAAGGTGGCGGGTGACTCTATTCTCAAGCAAATCAGAGAAAGTGTTGGAATCAACTAAGTCACTTTTTTATTAGTATGTTATTATATATATATAGTTATAGACTTCTATCTCTTATATAGTATTTTTAATAGTAAAGATTACAAAAACACAATCATTATTATTTGAATGGAAAACACACAAAAATCACTTTATGAGAATTCCTCGCTTCCTTTCTCATCATCGAAATATTCATCCTGCATTTCATCTTCTTGTTTGACATCTTTCACTTCACTCTCTTCTTCCTCTTCGTCATTTTCATCTTTTGTTTCGATTTTAACATCGACTTCCCCTTTGGCGAGTTTCTCAGTTTGTTCAATCATTTTCCCTAAGATGTCCCAGTTGATTCGTGAACTTCTTTTCTTCAGTTGTTCGGACATAGCCTCTCCAAACGTCGAATGATTCTTTTTGGTCTTTTTATCTCTCTTCTTGCGTATGGGCTGGTCTTCACCATCTTCGACACGTTTCTTCTCCTTCTCAAGAAACTCTGCGTTCAGCTCTTCCCATATTTGTTTCCGTTTTTCGGCTTCGGTATCATCGAGAAAATATCCGTCTAACTCCGAATCAAACGCAGCACAGTCTCCGACTTGGCACTCTCCCTCGTCGACTCCTTCACTCTCAAAATCGTCTTCTTTGATCTTTTGAACGTCAACCAACTTCTCTACATCAAATTTTTCACCTTCAAGCCCAACGTCCTTCGCACTCTTCCCTTCCAAACTGCCGAGGTTGATTGGTTTCTCGTCGATGTTTTTACACCCCATGATCTTCTCGACTTCTCCTCCAATCAACGTCGCGATTTCCTCTGTTAGTTTCTTATCTTCAGCAGCTTCATATTCGTCACAATTTCTTTTCCGCTTCTTCAAAGGGACATTTGCTCCTACTACTTCTCTTGCTTTGTCTTTCAGTCGATTTTGTGTGTAACTGGGGGGATTACAGTGCGTCGTCGAAGTGTCTTCTTCGTTCAGTTGTTCCAATGTCAAATCGGCCGATGGCGTTCGAAGAAACTCTTTCAACCTGACTCTAACTGTTGTAGTCGACAATCGAACCACATGAACGATCTCTTCAAGTGTTCTTGGCTCGTTGTGAAGTCTTCCCGCAAGATACAAAGCGACGCCACAAATCCCACTTGGTCGTCTGCCATAGTGCATCCAGTCTCTGTTCATCCTTTGACATATTCTCATTGCAGTTCGAACGACGTCCGCTGTTTTCTCAAACGCCAAATCCTCTCCAAATCGTTGTAAGTACAAGCAAGGGTCGACAAAGGGCAAGTCGAGTTTTAACTCCTTACAAAAGTGAATAAATGTCCTTCCTAACTTCCTCACAGATACATGCAAAACATCCGCAAAGTCTATAAGTAAATGATCCGTTCGTTCTCTTCGACAGATGATATACAGACACGCTCCAGCACTGTAAGCAACTCTCCGACCTTTTGTTATCCCACGCTGCATTGCTACTCGATAGAGTCTCTCACCACTTTCAATGTCACTACTCTTCATTTTAAGCATCTCACCAACTCGGCGAATGGCCCGCATCTGGCGCTCAACATCGTACCGCCGTCGCTCCGTTTCACCAAACTGCGTGCCGGCAAGTCTCTTCCGACCACCACTCTCGTCAAATTGGAGCTCCGCAATGAGCGCACCACAATCGTCAAGCACCAACCCACAATCTTCACAAATTGTACTCCCATTCTCTTTCCTTAAGTTTTTGGAATGACATTCTGGACATGTTCTGCTCCCGTCTTTCGATTCATCAAGACCTATTTCGGGTGCTTCGTTGTCTGAGTCACTCATTACTTTTTACAGTTCATGTTCCTTTGTTATTTTTATATTATATTATTAATATTTATATTAATACAATATAGTTTATTATTTATTATTTCTTTTTATAGTGAATAAATAAAATTTTTAATATATATTTTTTAATAGTATTTCAAATTATTTGAATAAAATTTGAGTTTTATCATCTTTTCAATCATTTTAGGTTTTGTTTAATTGTTTTATTGTTTTACAAATAACTAAATTTTTATAGTTATTTTATTATTACTTATATATAAATGTTTCTTCTTTGTGCTCATCAACATTATAATTTTAGATTTGTTTGTTCCACTAAAATATTTAAACCAATTTTTTTAGTTCTTGACAAGATGAATTATTTTAAAAAATTGGTTTATGTTATGAGTTCCAAAACAAAAACAAATTCTATATATATAGTAAAAACAAATTATATTATGAAACTATAAGTGTATATTTTTTATTTATAGAAGAAACCCTTTTTATGTTTTTCTTACTCAGCCAACACACTTTTCATCCTTTTTGAATGATGAGTAAATAATTTTCTTTTCACGTCTTTTTCTTTTAGATTTACTCAAGAAAACGAGTAAATAAAGTAATAAAACATTAAAAAAACGGACCAAAGCACATTCAAGAAATAGACAAGGGTTTTTGTTTCAATTAAAAAATTGATGAAAACACTGAAAAATACAATGAAGCCAAACTACGTACCAACACCATTTGCAAGAACACAGGCTGTTGTTGAGACGCTTCTTAAAGATGGTACTCCTGTTCTTCTCGAAGGCAAGTCGGGATGCGGGAAAACTTCTCTGTTGAAGCATATTTCAGAACAACAACACAGCAAAATGTTGTCTGTGCACTTTGGTGACGACATTGACTCGAAGGCACTTATCGGGTCTTACATCACAAGTGATTCTTTCAGTGAATTTAAATGGAAAGATGGCTCTCTCACAACCGCCGTAAAAGAGGGTTTATGGTTCTTATTAGAAGACGTCGACACTGCACCTGGCGATGTCATTTCCTTAATCACTTCGTTACTTAAAACGCGAACCTTTTTCATTCCAAATCGCAACGAAACCGTCACTGTCCACTCCAACTTCCGAATATTAGCAACACGAACATTACATAAAGGAGGAATGCGAGTCAATCAATTCCACAACGCACTGTCTTCCTATTTCTCTTTAGTTGCTATGCCTGACATCAAAATAGACGATTTGGAGAGTTTACTGAATACCATGTTTGGGAGAGTGAGTGTGTTAATTCCAACTATGATTAAAGTCCACTTCACTCTTGAAACCCTTGGCGTCGAAGTATCATTGAGACAGTTACTCTCACTCTGCCAAAGAGTTCAAGAACAGATTCCAGTCGAGACAAAGATCAACATAGCTACAACACAAATGAAACATATCATCCTTTTCGAATGCGACAACGTCTATCTTTCAAACACATTGGACAAAAGAGTCGGCGTCTTAGAAAAAGTTGCTCGAACAATCGAAATACCATCAATCACTTTCATGCTCGATGGGTATAAACCAGAACTTACGACAACAAGAGATACATTACAAATAGGACACGTCATCTTGAAGAAGAACCCCCCTATCATCCCGCCACCCCCACAAAGCCCTTTCCCATTTTCACAGACACAACACTCTCTCTGCTTATTGGAGAAGTTGGCGGACTGCGTGAAGAACGAAGAACCCGTCCTTTTAGTTGGAGAGACTGGTACAGGGAAGACTACTATGGTGCAACAATTGGCGACTTTATTGAATCAAAAACTCGTGGTATATAACTTGAATCAACAGACTGAGTCGAGTGACTTGGTTGGTGGGTTTAAACCAGTGCAAATGAAGTTATTGTGTCATCCCCTTCGAATTGAATTCATTGAAAAGTTCAATCAAATATTTGCTCAAAGTAACAATGAGAAGTTTTTATTACAACTTGATGCGGCGTACGAGAAACAAGACTTTGGCAGATTTCTCACGTTGGTCTTAAAAGCATGTGAAATGGCAGCATCTAAAATTTCTCAATTGGAAACTACTGAACGAGAGAATTGGCGGAAGATTGAGAACAAAGCGCGGAAGTACAAAGAGCAGATCACAAACAAACAAGGAGGGTTTGCATTCAGTTTTATTGAAGGTGATTTGATCACTGCATTGAGGAATGGTCACTGGATCTTACTTGATGAAATCAACTTGGCGTCACACGAGACACTGGAAAGAATATCTGGACTGTTGGACGGAGAGTCGATCTTATTGACTGAAGTGGGAGATGTCACCCCAGTGCCACGAAACCCTAATTTTAGACTCTTTGCGAATATGAACCCTCCAACAGATGTTGGGAAAAAAGACTTGTCGCCGGGAATCAAGTCCCGATTCCATCCAATTCAGTTTGACGAAATTATTAAAGAAAATGACTTGGAGATGCTTGTGAATGACTATTTGAAACGAATTGGTGTCACCCCTCCATCGAAGAAGATTGTCGAGTTCCACTTGCAAGCAAAGAAATTGGCGAAAGAAGAATTAGTTGATGGAGCCGGACAACGCCCACTGTTTTCGTTGAGAACCCTTTGTCTTGCTTTACAATATATCACCGATGTCAATGGGTTCTTTGGATTTGAAAGGAGTTTGTACGAAGGTATTTCGATGTCTTATTTGACTCAACTGAGCAGAGAAAGTTACCCCATAATGGAGAATATGATCAATTCGATGTTTACTAAATCGAATAACAGTGGGTCTATTCCTAAGAACAAAAGTTATGTCCAATATGGCGGGTATTTCATTGAACAGGGTTTGGAGGTACCAAGACTTGATGAGAAGTACATTTTGACAGAAACGACACAGAAGAGACTTGAAAGTATCGCGAGAATTGTCATGTCGAAGCGATACCCTATTTTACTCCAAGGACCAACTTCTGCTGGTAAAACTTCATTAGTCGAATATTTAGCTCACGCGACGGGGCATAGAATGGTCAGAGTGAATAACCATGAACAAACAGACGTTCAAGAATACCTTGGGAGTTATGTCCCAACAGAAGACGGGAAATTGGTGTTCCAAGAAGGGATATTGGTTGAAGCAGTGAGAAAGGGATATTGGATTGTACTTGATGAACTTAACTTGGCACCTTCAGAGGTGTTGGAAGCACTGAATAGACTTTTGGACTTCAACAGAGAACTGTATATTCCTGAGACGCAAGAGGTGGTCAAGCCCCATCCACAGTTCATGTTGTTTGCGACGCAAAACCCCCCAAATACGTATGGAGGAAGAAAACATTTGTCACGTGCGTTTAGAAATCGATTTATTGAATTACACTTTGACGAAATACCTGAAAATGAACTGGAAATTATTATTGAAAAAAGAAGTCAGATTCCACCAAGTTATTCAAAGAAGTTGGTCCAAGTGCTTAAGGACCTTCAGAAGCAACGCTCAATGACACAGTTCTTTGGAGGAAAACATTCGTTTATTACACTCAGAGAGTTGTTTAAATGGGCTGACAGACATGCGAGTAGCTATGAGGAATTGGCGAGAGATGGGTACTTTATAGTAGCCGAGAAGATGAGAACACAAGAAGAAAAGAATGTCATTCAGAAGGTTATTGAAGATGATCTGAAGGTGAAAATAGACTTTACCACTGTGTATGAATGTAAAGAGTTTGTTGAAGCATCGAAGCTGTGTCCGGAAATCGTGTGGACTCCTTCAATGAAACGACTCTTCTGCTTAATTGTTGAATGCGTCAAAAATAAAGAGCCCGCACTTCTTATTGGAGAGACGGGTACGGGGAAGACAACGGTGTGCCAAATTTTGGCCAAAGTATTGAACAACAGACTGAGAATATTGAACTGCCACCAACACACGGAAACTGCTGATTTCATTGGAGGTATGCGACCAGCTCGAAATAAAGACCAAACGACTTTTAAGTTACACAAAGCGTTGGAGACGTTGTTAAAGACGACAGGAACGTTACAAGAGTTGTTAATTATTTATCAAAAGAATTATAAGAGTTACCAAAAGAATGAAGTGGAAGACATAGAGAGTTTATTGAAAGAGTATAAAATATTATTTAAGTGGTATGATGGACCTTTAATAGAAGCAATGAAGACGGGGGAGATGTTTTTGATTGATGAAATTAATATGGCGGAGGATTCTGTTTTGGAAAGAATCAATTCAGTGTTAGAACCTTCAAGAATGATGACCATTGCAGAGAAGACGTCAACAGAGATAGAAGAAGTTGTTGCGAATGATACTTTTAGAATCTTTGGAACAATGAATCCCGGTGGAGACTTTGGTAAAAGAGAGCTGAGTCCTGCTATGAGAAACCGATTTACAGAAATCTATGTCAAGTCGTTTGAAGCAGAAGGAGACTTGTTACTGATTGTCCAACAGAAGATCAATGAACCAACAGAGAAGAAGTTTGCGGCTGCTATAGTCAAGTTCTTGATGTGGGCGGAGAAGAAATTTGGGAAGAAAGTGTCAGTCAGAAATTGCCTAGCGTGGACTGATTTTATGAATTGTTGTACGAGTATACCATCACCTCTTGTTCGATTCATCCATGCAGCTCATTTAGTAGTGATTGATGGTGTTAAGGATGAAGTAGGGAAAACAAATGCGGAGTGTTTGATAGCATTGAATGAGGCATTGGTGACTATTGGAGAGAAATTGGAAGACTCTATAGTTCAAGAGATGTCGATGCAACCAACTTTGAGTGTTGGACCAACCAACATCAGTGTATCAGACTTCACTATCACAGCAAATGGTCCAATTCAAAAACAAGACAATTACTGCGTGGAGGCGCCAACTACTACTAACAACATACTTCATTTATTGAGAGCGTTGGTACTCCATAAATCGATATTAATGGAAGGATCTCCTGGAGTTGGAAAGACGACGATAATAGAGATATTATCATCAATGTTAAACATTCCATTGTTTAGAATCAATCTGTCTGAACACACGGACATTAGCGATTTACTTGGAACGGATCTCCCACTTGAAGGAAGCAGTGGAGGATTTGGATGGTGTGATGGATTGTTACTGAGAGCGATGAAAAGTGGATCATGGGTGTTACTCGATGAACTCAACTTGGCTTCACAAAGTGTATTGGAAGGTCTTAATTCGTTGTTGGATCACCGAGCAACTGTATATATACCAGAGATCAATATGGAAGTGAAATGTCCACCGACATTTAGACTGTTTGCAAGTCAGAATCCACTTGGAGAAGGGAGTGGAAGAAAGGGATTGCCACAATCGTTTATAAACCGATTTACATCAGTGTATGTCAATAAGATGACTGAAAGTGATTTGAAATTGATTGTCGAGAAAATGTATCCAATGATTCCAGTCGAACTGAGAGAGAGTCTTATAGACTTTGTGGGGCAACTTGAGAATCAAGTGTGCTGTAAAAAGAATTTTGGGAGACGTGGAGAGCCGTGGGAATTCAATTTAAGAGATGTTTTGAGATACTGTAAATTGTATTCTGAATATTCACAACGTATTGATACTGATACAATGAAAGGAAATATGGACACACTTGGGTTTATATTCACTGAAATCTTTAAGGGAAGATTTAGAGATGTTGTTGATATACAAAAAGTCGAAGAGCTCTGGAGAAGTTGCTTGTCACCAAAATACAAAGAGATGTCGATGGAATATCACAATGATATTCACATTACTCCGGAGAGATTTATTATTGGAGAAGTGGAGGTGTCGAGAACTGTTAATAGAGATACAACAAACTCAGACAAATATATATTACCAACACATGTTGAATCGATGAAACAAGTCATGAAGGGTATTAATCATAACTGGCTCATATCACTTATTGGAGACTCACATTGTGGAAAGGCGACGTTAGTGAGGAATGTTGCTCAACTATGTGGAAGTGTTTTAAAAGAGTTTTCGATGAACACAAGTGTTGACACGATAGATCTCATTGGTGGATATGAACAACTCGATTTTGAAAGACACAGAAGATCATTTTTGGAAGACCTTCGAGATTACATGAAATTGGTTACAAACAAGGAAGCGTTATCAATCTATTCGACATTGGAGAGGTGTACTAAAGTGTCTGAAATTGATAGGAAACATGATTGTATCTTCTCATCAACTGAAATGAATATCATTAAAGGGTTAATTAAAGTACTTAACGATGAATATTTCCAGTCTGAAATAACACGAATAGAAGTGACACAACAGAAGAAGTCGATTGGTTCATTTGAATGGGTGGATGGTATTGTAGTGAAGTGTATGAAACGTGGGTACTGGTTGTTAATGGAAAATGTCAATTTCTGTAACCCGACTGTACTTGACAGACTTAATTCACTCTTTGAACCAAATGGGTACTTAGTGTTAAATGAACGCGGTGTTGATAGTAATGGCATTCCAATCATCGTGAAGCCCCACAACAACTTTAGAGTCATCTTTACATCAAATCCAATGAATGGAGAAATATCACGAGCTATGAGGAATAGAGCGCTTGAGTTGTATGTACCCCAAATTCGTGAGATAGACGCACAACGCATGTTAACTGGATTTGGAGTGTCTTTACAAACAGCGAAAAAGATGATAGCAATACATCTAAAGACGGAGAATATGACGTTTTTGCATTTGATGAGATGGGCAAAGTATGTCGGGAAGAATGGAGAGAGTGCGATGAAAGAGGGATTTGACATCTTCTACGTCCAAACTAAATCGGATTTAAATGAACAAGAGAAGTTAAGAAACATTTACTTGAATCAACAAGATATTGAATGTAATGAATATGAGAGTGTTGTATTCAAATTGTTTGCACAAGCCACAATATGCAATTTGAATGTGTTTGAGGAGAATGTGTCGATTGGAAATTTGATGAATCAAATGTCACAAATCATCCCATTAATATGTGATCAAGTGCCACAAAATGCAATGGAAGTTGACTATTTTTCATTGAAGAATGTCATTGTTAACACGCTGAAAGATGTCAAATTTGAATCGACGATGAAGTACAAAGAATACATTTCAATGGTGTTGTATTTACTTGATGATATTGATCGAGTCAATTACTTGAGTTTGTTGCAAAGCATTGAAGGTGGAGAGAACATCATTGTGTATATTCAAAACGAGAACTTAATAAGACAACATTCAAGTCGACAAATTCGAGGGATGTATGCACTCTATTTGTTAATGAAACGTGAAGAAGAAAAGGTGCGAGTTGAAGAGAATGGCAAAAGTATTCTCTCGAAGTCATACAGAAAGATTGGGAACGTCTATTCGAAGTATTTGGTCATTGAACAGAACTATAACGAATTTTTGGAATTACTTGATAAAACAATTTGTGAGTTACACACTTTGGACGAACAAACACAATATTACGTTCTTTCACTTCGAGTACTTTTTGGTGTTGTGGGAATGAATGAAAATTTACAATTAGAACGATATATTATCTTATGTGTGATGCTTAGAAGTTTACATCCGACATATCAAACACTTACAAACGACTTGTTTGCCCGTTTCAATATTGATGAATCTTTCATTGGATCTTTATGGTCTGGGTTTTCAAGTTCGTTATATCCCAAACAACCCACTCGGTTATCTGAAGTACTTAAAATATGCGGAGAAAGGTATGGAAAGAATGATGTCAAGATATTATCAACGTTAATACAGAAGAGTTATACAGATGAAGAATTTGAGTTGACGAAGCCACAAATAGAAAAGGAAACAATGTTGACACCACTGTACGACTTTTTAGTGAATCTTCAAGTTGTATCACAAGTCTTAAATGGAGTAGAGTGCACTGCAAATCCTTTGGTCCACTTCTTCCAGACTGTTTCAAAGGAGAATTCTATATATACAATTCCAATGATAATGAAGGCACTTGACTCGTTGTGGAAGAACCACCCTGATTTGCCATTCTTACCAAAGTCAAAGCAATTAAAAGGCGTGTCTTTGCTCTACCAAAGTGTTATACCTAGAGCACGAGCACATTTTACATCAAAAGAAGTGTTGGATGTCTTACCAATTTCGATGCAATTTAACTTGCTTAAAGATATTAAGAACATCTCATTCTCTTCAACAAATGATGTCACTGATATCATTAATAAATTACTAAATATCGTTCACAACACATTGACTGAGATGTTTGCATCAATTGTACAACAAAAGTGTGATATGTCTGTCTCTTTGAATTTGATCAGTCGTAAACTTAATGGACTTTACAACGAGACTATTCAAACGGTTTGTGGAAACTCAGAGAAAGAGGAGAGTGCAAATTTGTTTAAATATGGTAGTTTCATGTACCAAGCATTTTCTATTCCATGCATCGACCCAATGGAGTTCCCAAAACATTTCATTTCTGTTTCAAATGAACGTATTGAAATAATTAGTAATCAGATCGAAAGTGTCATTAATTTACAGAGTCATGTATTTGGAAAAGGGTTTGAGCGGATACTAAACTTTTTGGAAATGTCGAGAAATACTGTTCGAAGTGGAATGAAGAAGTACGAAGAATTCAACAAGGAAAGAATTACAGAACAAAAGTTTGAGAACTTGTATCAGGAATTTGTATTGTTTTCATCATCGAATGGAGACTACTTGAAGATCAAAAGACTGTATGATGATATTGAAAATGTCAATGAAGTTGCTCAACTCATTCGCATCATTACACAAGAAACAATGTGGCAAGAACAGACTGAATTTTTCATAGAACATATTCAGAAGGATTATCCCTTATTCTTAGATTTGACTATACCCGTCTTGTTTGGGCTTTATTTACTTAAGACTGGTCTTCGAATTGGTTTGTATAAGAAGATAGTTTTGTACTTGCGAAATGAAAAGACTGAACTGTTACTTAAAAGTGTTATTACATTCCCAGTGAATTCTAATATGATACAAGAACAAGCAAAATGCATTGGAGACTTCATTATCCAACACATTGAAGAGAATAAGAATGTCCAGAACAGTGAATTAATTAAAATAGTGTTGGTCAATGTTATTCGAGAGATGTGGGGTGACAAAGCTGGTGCGATGAAAGTGATCTCATTGTTGCTTCATTTGATGACTACACTCAAAAACGCGGAAGATGAAGAGAAAAGAAAGATCATAGAGGAAGAACAAGTGACTTATAAATATACAACTAAGACGAATCAACTTGCTGTGGATGAAGATAAAGAAGAAGAAGAGTATAGAGCAGAGTTTCCGGACTTCTTTGCTGATGTTCAAGACTTATTAAAAACACAGAGTCTTTCAATGGAAATAGAAACGAAAACGAATGAAAATAAGAAGAAGAAGGCAAGAGTTTGGATGAGTGACTCTGATATTCAGTTTATTATGAAACTCATTTCTAAGTTACTAAAAGCACAGAAATGCCAAGAAAGCTTTGAGGAGATGTATGAGACAAGGAACAAAATATTTAAAGAGATTTTGGACGAGTTCTTCGACACAAGAGATCTGCCACTTCCAAAGGAATTTGATTGTATTAGTTCTCCATTCCATAACATTTTCATAGACAAGAAAGTAGCTATTTTAAGTCAGACGAAGGCGGAGAGAACGATTGATTTGAACAAAGATGGGAGTGTTTATGAAGTCAACGAATTGCTTAAAAAATTAGAACCGTTGTGTACACATGTCTTGAAGTTGTTAGAGGAATTCCCAGAGAATGAGATGTTAGTGAAGATCCTTTCTATTATAGAGAGACTGAAGAACTTCCCAAAGACAGACCCTCTCATGAGATATTTGATAGTCCTCCACATCTTGTTTGGTGAGCTTCAAAATTGGGAGACGGTAGCTGCGAAGTATGTTTCATTACGAGAAGAAATGAATGTGGTTGCTACTATAATACAGAAGTGGAGATGTTGGCAGTTGAAGAGTTGGGATAAAATGACGGAGAGTCTGAATGAAGATCAACTGATTCAAGCCCGGGCGTGGTTTGTTAATGTCTGGAAGATGGTAGATGAGATGGTGAACAATGAAGTCGACGAACAAATAGAATTGGGCTTTTTGGAATCAATGAATCAATTTATGTATAAGTGCACGTATGGACAATTTGAAGAGAGACTTAAAGTACTTGGCATAGTTATTCAAATATGTGAATGCTCTGAAAATCGAAATGCACGATTTGGGAAGGTTAAGGTGATGTTGACGCAAATCCGGGAATACTACAATGTCTTTGTATCGAGAATTAAAGAAGACATAGACAGAGAGACTAAACCTGTTGAGACTAAAATTAAGGAGTTTGTGAAACTGATAAGATGGAATGATATTAACCATGAAAAGATCAAAGACCAAGTGGAGAAGTCGAACCGGAAATTGAATGGATTTAAAAGGGAGTATGATGACATTTTGAAGAAGAATGTACAATTTGTTGTTCAAAGTCAGACGTTTGCGAACACCACGAGCGCTACTGATAAAGCGTTGGGACCCATCTTTAAAGAAATACATAAGAGTGAAAAGATCAAGAAGACTGTGGATTCAAAGAAGAGAACGGACAATATCGGTTATTTCATTAATAAAATTGCTGTGTTGGAAGAGAATACCATTCGAGTGTGTGTTGAAGAGAAGATGAGTAAAGAGAAGTCGGGTGTTGTATGGCTTGAGGAAGTCGAAAAAGAGTTGATTGGCCGTGTTGTAGAACTTCAGAATTTAACAGGAAAGGAAGGTGTGAAGACAAAGAAAAGAGCCCTTTTGGACGCGTTAGAACTGTTTGAAGTACTGAAGTTGCCACACTCAAGAAAGTCTGTCAAAGTCGAAGAAGTCGTTTTAGAGAGTGTGTTACGAAGGAACTACAAATTGGAAGGAGAAGATGATGTCATTAAAAACGTTAACGAGTATCATTACCGAACTTTAAGTAAATTGGAATTGTTTAATAAGACTAAAGTGACTCCATCGAGTGATTTGAATGCCAAAGAAATTGAATACATGCAAGGGTTTGTCTACAATTTGTATTCCATGTGTTTA